CTTTGGATCATCTGCATATGTATGGCCAATCTGTTAAAGATAAGATTGTCCAAGATCTAGCTACTGTCTAGCAGTCCAATGTGTGACGTGCATTGTTTGAAAGTACTGAACTAATATATTATGTTATACAGCCCAGAGACCAGGGAGTTCAAATTCTAATTTGCTATTTACACCTTCCTTCTCAGCTGAGTTTGGACACATGCATTTTGATTAAGTTGCTTGCTTGGGATCTCTGTACAGTATGAGACAACCTCTAATATACGAGAAGCAGAAAGCATGATCACTACGGTGTTCATTACCTTGTGCACATTATGATGTCTGCATTCTAGTTTAACAATTCTTTATTAGAAACAAGTATGGAATGTGCATTTTCTTCTAATATTTATAGATGATCAGGACCAGGCTTTAGTTGAAAAACAATATTGTCACACCAGTTTATATTCTTGCACGAGGCTAAAGTGTGTTAGGAACAATGGAACAATAATATTCATTGTATATACAGATGCTATGTTTTGTGCTATTAGATTGTGCATTACCTATTTAAAAAAATATGATATATGCAGTGTTTAAAGATCCAGCTAAAATGGGGCACTTATAGTGGCTTAGCCTATAAGAGTATTAATTTGCACATAAACCCTACAGAGCTGATGTTTCTGTATTAGCTGAAGTACCTCCTGCAGTTCACAGTCATGTTACATGTGTGTTACAGGCTCATTTCCCCCACAGAGGTGAATCAGGTAATTCTGACCTCAGAGATGTAAATAGATGTAACAGACTTTCAAACTACGTCTTTGAAAATGCAGTACCACATCTGAGTGCATAAGTATTAGAGGTCTGTTAAAAAGAAAGCTTCTCTTTAGGCTCCATGTATGACACCCTAAATTGCTTTTCACCTGGTCACATATGTTTTATAGCATTTAACCATACCACTAGTGTTGGGCTTGATGTTTGTGTCGAATGTAAGTTCAGCGAACACAAACAGTGTGGGCATTCGGGGAGCTGTTCGTCTGCCGCACCCCACAATGCACTGCACTCTGATGCATTTTGATTGACAACAGCAATGCACCTGACCACAGGTCAGGTGCAATGTTTTGGCCAATCACAGCACATGATGATGTCACAAGGGGGTGGGGTCACCCAGTTGATGTCACCGGGTGGCCCTGTCCCTTAGACATTTAAGATCTCAGATGGCCAGGAGCCAGCTTCGAGAGAAGAGTCTTTTTTTTTTTTTTGGCGGAGTGCATCGTGATTGATGTTGGATCTACTTCAGGGGACTTTTTTAAAATTTTTGTTTTTAAAGTGGTAGTAAACTCTTCTTCTTTAATAATTTTACCTACAGGTAAGCTTATTATAAAGCTTACTTGTTTGTAAAATAATATCTCTTAAACGTGAACCATCAACATGGGGACAAGGTGCTTAGTGGGGAGCCCCCTGCCCCAAAGCACCCCCCCATGTTGAGGGCATATGGCCTGGTATAGTTCAGGGTGGCGCTTGCTCATCCCCTCCCCTTTCCAGACCTGCCAGGCTGCATGCTCTGATAAGGGTCTGGTGTGGATTTTGGGGGGACACCCAGGCCAATTTTTTTTTTTTATTTTGGAGTGGGGTTTCCTCTCAAAATTCATACCAGACCTGAAGGATAAATGTAAAATGCTTCCAAATAACATCAGAGTTCATGCCAAGTCCACACTGGTGTACCCCTTCAGTATCTGTTTTCCTGCTTATGGAGTTTATATTCAGTTCCTTACTAGTGCATACAGATACTGAAGGGGTCTATTTGTAGCACATCATTGTGGACTTGGTGTAGACTATGATGTTATTTGGAAGCATTTTGCTTTTATCCTGAATAGAACTCATGCCTACCAATGGTGCATTATATCCTTTATCATGAAACAATTTAATAATTGATACTTAGTGGCCCCTGCTCAGGCTAACATGGTCCGATGAATTGGATGTTGCTGGCCAGGGAGGGTGCAGGCTGGGCAAAGGTTGGTCCAAACCCAAAGCACACTGTAGAAATAGTAATAGATAGCCCAGCCCACACTTTGCCTGGCATCTGGTTAGCAGGTAAAAGCAGCTTCAGCTCAATTCTTCCAAGCCATACCCCAGGGTGGGGCAAAATTTGTTGGGGGGGCTTGGCTTGGAAGAATCAAGCTTAGGCTGCTTTTACCTGCTAACCAGGTTCCAGACGAGGTGTGTGGTGTCAGTGCTATCTCCTATTTCTACAATTAACTCCTAAAGCTTAAATTATATTAATTGCATATCTCTTGAAGTGTTGATTTTGAAGTTGTTTTGCACTTTTGGGTTGTTTTCTTGTTTTATGCTGTTCATCACTCTCTATCTGGTGTTCACAGCTGCAATTGCATACATTTTAACCACTTCACTTCCATGTAATGGTATGTCGCTGGACTTTCAGTGTGTATGCTGCTGCAGGCATCACCCAGCTACTGTTTTTTAGGTCTGACGGTCGTCTCTCTTGTAATAGCAATCAGGATTGGCTTTGCAGCCACTAGATTTCTAACACAAGCAGTGAGAGAGGATGTTCCCTCCCCCCCGCCATTCTCTCGGGCTCACCTGAGACACCAGCCGGCACATACGCCGCCTAGCCAGACAGTCAAACAATGCTAGGATTGACTTTGATTGGCTCTCCATTTTAGTAAACCATTATAGTAAGACCTGACATCACAACTGGTTTACTTGGAAGTAAACATTGCCATTTTTAAAATATAAAAGCATTCAGAAACACCAATCTTGGTGCTTTTTAATGCTTTTAAGTGCAGATGAGGGATTTGGGGTCTTATTGAAAAGTATATTTGTTCCCATAAAATTGCATTTGAAAAACTGCTGCTCAAATACTGTGTGACATAAATAATTTCAAAACCCACCAATTTATTCTCTAGGGCCTCTGCTTTAAAAAATATATAATGTTCGGTGATTCTAAGTAATTTTCTAGCAAAAAAACCTGATTGTTACATGTAAACAAAAAGTGCCAGAAATGGCCCGTGCTGGAGGTAGTTAATTCAAGTTTTTATCTATGGATCTTTGATGGTGACTCTGGGATTGGCTTCTTAAGTATTTTTTCTTTTTTCATACCCCAATGACACTGCAGCTATGCACGTAACCAAGTTACCTCAAATCTGGTTTACTTTTGTCCATAATAACCGTACAGCATGATTTGTTATAAAAGGGTGGAGCCTTTAAAAAAGAGCATCATTACTTATGAACTTCTTGGGCATAATAGCAACTAAACGGAAAATAGACAAGTGTAAATTCTTATAACAATCATGTCTTTTCTTTTCAGACATATGCAGAACGTGTCCTGGGAAGTTTCTCATTGGCAGTCCCCATCTTTGTTGCTTTATCATGTTTTGGTTCCATGAATGGTGGGGGTTTTTGCAGTATCAAGGTGAGATGCTAGTAAAACTATAACTACTAATACAACAACTGTTAATTATTAGTGTTTATATAAATGCGTCAGGAAACTACAGACCATCTGGTAATTATAGGTACCATTAGATAATGCTAGAAGAAAATGTAAATTTACTTTTATTGGAAAATAGCAAATCTTTTTAGACTGAACACATGCACTTTATTTAGTGATAGTGATGTTACAATGTTTTGGTGCATATATACGGCAATTTGAGTGCAATGTAACCATGTTAATCTGAGGAAATAACCCAATAAAACAATGGTGAGCACTATGACAGCTTCTTATGTTTTATATGTGCTGCACTTGGTTAATATCTGTGTCTGAATATTCTATGGCTCTGAGGGATTGCTGCAGAGGCTGTATTGGTTTCCATACTTTCCCTTAAAGGGATAGTAGTGTTTTTGACCTATTTTATATTTTGCGGTCTGGATTGAAGGAGAGCATCTTATTTGACTTCATATGATCACTATCCTTAAATAAAAGACAGTTTTGTGGCATAATCAAAGACATACAGTTGTTCAATGGTTAGATAAAGCAACATGTTTCCAGTGTCTGGATTGATGGTACAGTGCAATACACTCGCTATGTATAAACATCTACAGATACTCAGCATTGGACAATATTAAAATCTTCAACTCTATGTGGCTTTCTGTATACTGTAGGTGTCAGAGTAATAAATACATTGCAACAAATCATCTTAATCCCACTGCTAATTACATGGCAGCCTGAATTGTCTCAGTCTGTTCTACAAAACTGTAATGTTGGCATAGTATCATCTAGGAAAGCTCTCCAACCAATCTTAAACAACAAATAAATCTTATTATGACAATGAATGAGCAAGGGTTATGGTTTGGGTCTGGTGATTTTCCAAATTCAGTTTAGTAAGGGTGTAGCAAGAGACACATTCATTTTTTCTGTATTTCTCAATAGGGTGATTTACTAAGGGAATAGAGACTGGATGATTGAAGTGAACACAGCTTTACCATTTTCACTCAGTGAACATTTACTTTACTAAGTGAACATTCTCTATTCCTTTCAGTAAGCTAGCCCTAATGTGTTGACAGGTGCTAAGCTCACCAAATTCATTATTTAATCAAAATTTTATGACAGCCTTTTAAAGTTTGTCTCCTAGTTAGAAAGTTATTCACTTACATAGTTAAATGCCTTCTTAGTTAATCAAAATTCATTGGGAAAAAAATGATCAAAGCTGGAGAAAAAAAAAAGTCTGCATTGCCCAAAGCAATGCATTTCCACCTTTCAGTTATATAGGGCACGTTAAATAAAAAAAGATTAAATGTAATTGTTGGATTAAATTAATCCACACGCTTTTGTTTTTCTTCAGTTTTCCTACATTGTCATTTTTCAAGGTGGACCATATGTATGCAGTGTGTTTGTCAGTTGAGTTATTGTACAGTTTTTGTTCAATACAGAGATATATCTGTTATTATTTTATGTTAACAATTAACAATACATCACATGTTGTTCATTTCCGTAAATATGTGAAGTTTAAAATGCATAATTCATTGTTTATTTCATCAGGATGTTCTATGTTGCATCTCGAGAGGGTCACCTTCCCGAGATCCTTTCCATGATCCACGTACACAGGCATACTCCATTGCCAGCTGTCATTGTTTTGGTAAGCTGCATCACCATGTATCTTTAGCTATGTTTATTTAATATCAGTCACTTTGAGGGGACTTTGAAATGTGGAAATATTGGTATTTGTTTTTATATCATACACTGTATTATAACACTGTATTACAGCACTTAAACTCCTACTATCATAATGTTTATTCAGACACTCACATTGCAGAGCAGATTGTTTCATGAACAATTATTAGAAAAAGTATAATAACACAGATAAAAGTATATCTTAACAGACCACAGATTATCCCTATAAGTATTCTTCCATGAGTGGCATATTAGTTTATTGTTTGTTCACTGGATGGTGTACATTGTTCAAGTGGACTTCAAACATTATAACATGAAAGTATCCTTATGTCATATTTTGTCAATGACCAAATGTCCATAATATTTATAATTTTTTAGCAGCTAGCAAGGTATCCACATGTAATTTTACCCCCAATGGAGCAACTTGGTAATTTGGGTGAACATGAGTATACATACCTTCAACTCAGCTGTGAATTAGCACCAGGAAATAAACGCAAGATCGTTTAGTGGTAAATTAACTCAATATATCAGTATGTGTTAGAATGAATGATGGTTTGAGCATAATCCAACACACAGAAGATAGGTTCAGACATAGTCCACAAGACAGTATGATCACTATAAGAAGGTAATTTAGAATAGAGTTCTGTATCACTAGACTGGGATTAATTCATTAATAAGCAAATTTAGCAATAAACAGTGCATATAAACAGTGCACTGTGTAGGAGAATGGCTAAGATATGTTGCAATGCCCCCTGAGAGGTACCTCTTAACATAGGCAATGAGTGACAGCTGCAAAGGAACAGTTTTTAGACCTATCTCTTCAGCCGGATAGCATCGGGGTCCAGTTGTACCATCGGTGCACTTGAGAATAGTTCCAGTCGAGCCTGCAGGCAGCACTGAGGCTACTAGGTGGCTGTATGGCCAGCTCCTCTAGCAGCAGATAGTAAATCCCCACACCAGCAGCTTCCCCGTCCCAGTGATATTGCAGCTCACCATCCAGTCACAAACGATTTGTCCACTCTTTACTCTGCACCCAGGTGACTCTGGTTGTCACCACATCTGGACTCAGCACTCTGGATCCCAATCAGGCCATTTATGTGCAGCAATGATGGTCCACACTGGATAGTGATGTGCACTTTCTGGTCTCCCTCACATCAAGAGGAAGCTGTGTCCAGTACAGCCTGAGAAAATTTACCTTTTTCCTCTCCTCCTGGCAATCTCTCTCTCTCTGGGGAATGTAGTTCAAAAGCTCTACAGTACAGTCTCTCCCCCCCGGACTACAGTTCCCACAGTGCAGTGCTCCCTGACTCAGTCTGTTGAACTCTTCCTGCTCAGCAGCTCTTCTTGCTGATATAGCTGTTAAACAGTTCAGCATCACAGGGCAGCAGCTACAGAGAACAGTTTCAGCCAGTGTTTCTCTAACTCACCATTATTAGCCAAGCGCCTGGCTACACACAAAAATAAATATAGAAAATAACTCACCATTTGCCAGGTAAAACATAGCCTATATATAAATTTCAACTATTTATTTAGCTGTTTGCCTTAATTTTAGCATTTTTACTTTTCCGTGTCCTTTATCTACATACCATGTTTAAGTGATACTCAGTAGTTTTACTAAAGACAAATAGGCTGCTTATTTTCACTGGGGAATTTCACTTTGAATAGGAATTTTTCCTTAGCTTAGTGAATGCTGTGAAAAAGCACTTTGCAAAGAACACCCAATCATGTGCAAGAAAATAATATAACAGTAGTTATGATGCTACATGATTGGGTTATGGAAGCCAGCAGAGCTTCACCTCCCAGCTAAAGATTGTGAATCTCACTGTATAATCACCCATGTGGTCTATACAGTATATCACCTATCCCTAACATTTAACCTTTTTCTCCCCCAAACCCCAAGTTCTAACTTACCTCTTAACTTACCTGTAAATAACTTTGACACTTAAACAATAAGTGTCTTTCAGACAAAGTTGCACTTATTTTTTTTTTGTCCCTTCTCCCTGACCTAAACAACCCCCCCTTCACAGGTGTACACTAAAGATGCCCATACATAGATCAGCAGGGACCAGATGAATTTCAGTCTATGTATGGGCACTGTGGATGACTTCCAACTGACTTCTTTTCAACCACCCTGTTGGAAAATTTCCTCTTGATCAACATTGCAGACTTTAGTCTGAAGGGCTGATCTGTGTATGTGGATGGCAGAGAACTCTCCCCGGTATCAGAATACATTGACACTTTAGGGAGGATTCCCCAATCCATCAAATGTGTGGATGAGGAAATCAGGTTAGGTTTTTTTGTTCAACCTGCTAGTTTAAATGCAATTAAAAAAAAAAGCATAACTATGTATTTTCTAATTATTTAAGATATCTATCTCACACAGTGGATTATCACTGAGGGTTTACAGTGCCTTGAAAAAGTATTCACACCCCTTGATATTTTCCACATTTTGTCATGTTACAACCAAAAACGTAAATGGATTTTATTGGGATTTTATGTAATACACCAACACAAAGTGGGACATAATTGTGCAGTGGAAGAAAAATTATAAATGGTTTTCAAACTTGTTTACAAATATCTGAAAAGTATGGCATGCATTTGTATTCTGCCCTCCTGAGCCAATACTTTGTAGAACCACCTTTTGATGCAATTACAGCTGCAAGTCTTTTTGGGTATGTCTCTACCAGCTTTGCACATCTAGAGAGTGAAATTGTGGAGCATTCTTCTTTGCAAAATAGCTCAAGCTGTGTCAGATTGGATTGAGAGCGTCTGTGAACAGCAACTTTCAAGTCTTGCCACAAATTCTTAATTGGATTTAGGTCTGGACTTTGACTGGTCCATTCTAACAAATAAATATGCTTTGATCTAAACCATTCAAGCTTTGGCTGTATGTTTAGGGTCATTATCCTGCTGGAAGGTGAACCTCCACCCCAGTCTTAAGTCTGTTGCAGACTCTAACAGGTTTTTTTCTTACATGGCCCTGTATTTGACTCCATCCATCTTCCCATCAACTTTGACAAGCTTCCCTGTCCCTGCTGAAGAAAAGCATCCCCACAACAATGTGCTGCCACCACCATGTTTCACGGTGGGTATGGTGTGTTCAAGGTGATGTGTAGTGTTAGTTTTCTGCCACACACAGCGTTTGGCTTTTAGGCCAAAAGTTCAATTTTGATCTCATCTGAAAATATCAATTTCTTTCACATGTTTGCTGTGTCCCCCACATGGCTTCTTGCATACTGGAAAAGGGACTTCTTACAGCTTTCTTTCAACAATGGCTTTCTTCTTGTCACTCTTTCATAAAGGCCAGATTTGTAGAGTGCACGACTAATAGTTGTCCTGTGGACAAATTCCCTCACCTGAGCTGTGGATCTCTGCAGCTCCTCCAGAGTTACCATGGGCCCCTTGGCTGCTTCTCTGATTAATGCTCTCCTTGCCCAACCTGTCAGTTTAGGTGGACAACTATGTCTTGGTAGGTTTGCAGTTGTGTCATATTCTTTTCATTTTCAGATGATGGATTCAACAGTGCTCCGTGAGATATTCAAAGCATGGGATTTTTTTTATAACCTAACCCTGCCTTAAAGTCTCCACAACATTATCCCTGACCTGTCTAGTGTGTTCCTTGGCCTTCAAAATGCTGTTTGTTCTAGAATATTCTCTAACAAACCTCTGAGGGCTTCACAGAACAACTGTATTTATACTGAGAATAAATTACACACAGGTGGACTCTATTTACTTATTTGGTGACTTCTGAAGGCAATTGCTTCCACTAGATTTAACTTAGGGGTATCAAAGTAACGAAGGGCTGAATACAAATGCATGCTACACTTTCAGACATTTATTTGTAAAAAATTGTGAAAACCATTTATCATTTTCCTTCCACTTTCACAATTATGTGCCACTTTGTGTTGGTATATCCCATAAAAACCCAATAATATACATTTACGTTTTTGTTTGTAACATGACAAAATGTGGAGAATTCCAAGAGGTATGAATACTTTTTAAAGGCACTGTCTTGCTACCTGTACATAAAGAGCCTTGTTAAACATTCTACTGATTAACCTGTAACAGATTTTGTAATCTCTTTATGCTATAGGGAGATACAAGCACAAATACATTGAGATACCAGTGCAGGTGAATTTCACTAGCAGACAGATGGCAGTTGTATTTATAACACTGCATTCTCCTTCATGCCCTTCACATCTGAAAACCTGAAGCAACAGCAATGCGCAAGGTTAACAGTGAAATTCAGTAAAATAAACTTTATAAACATGGCAAACAGGCAAAGTGTTAAATTAAAACAGAGGTAAAATTGTAAACTTTCCATTTTGCATTTGAAGAACTAACCCCTTTTGTTTGCTCATAAATACATTTCATGCAATTTCATCTAATAACATTCTCCATTTTAAGCGTGGTGACAACAAGCTATTAATAGTTATTGACTGTCCCTTTAAACTGCGTGCCATGCTTCTTAAGAGACCTAAACGTGTCCATATTGGTTAGAAAGAAACTGATAAATCATTAGTGTGGTATTACTTGTGCTTCTTTCATTATTTTATTGCATGTGAAGGCCATGCAGCCTCACGCTGTTATCAGTTTCACTGGAAGATTTGTGCATCTGCTCCTGGTATTTAAGTCTCAGAGGCAGAAAAGTAAATCAGTTCCTATTAGTGCTTCTTCCCTGGGATTGTGTGGATGGAATGGGACTGATTATTTCTGGCTCTTTCTCTCAGACATGAAGTCTTTTGAAACAGAGGTATGACTAATAAAACCTAAATTTGCTTAATTGGAAGTGAAGTAAAACTCTATCGTCTGAGAATTCGCAATGGGCTCATCCGAGACACCACCGTAATGAAGGACACAAACAAGTGTACACATTTATAATGGAAAAAGACTAGTCAGTAAATTGATTCTGTGGTTAAAAGCATGTTTTATAGGCAAAAAGATGAGGCATAAAAATATACGCAT